AGCAGGAATTAATAAGATCAAGAGTCTCATAACATAATATTTAAGAGATTCTCTTTAATTGAAAATCATATGTCAATAAAGAAAATTTCACTTTGAATGAAAAACAATTGCTGGGTGTCAACACTGAGCTGATAAAGATGTTAGAATTATCTGACAAAGATTTTGAAGCAAACATCATAAAAATGTTTCAAGGAGCTATTACAAACATGTTTGAAGCAAGTGAAAATATAGTTAAGTCTCAGCACAGAAATAGTCCCAGCATAGAAATAGAAGATATAAAAGAGAACCAGATGAAAATTTTAGAATAGGAAGACACAATAATTAAAATTTAAAAACTCAGTATATAGGCTTAATAACAGAATGAGAGGACAAGAGAAAGAATTAGTGAACATGAAGAACAGTAGAAATTACCACATCTGAACAACAGAGGGGAAAAAAAAAACATGAGAAAATCTTCAACTAGGGTTTGACAAAGAGTTCTTAGATTTGACACCAAAAGCACAGTCCATAAGAACTCTCAAAACTCAACAACAACAACAAAAAGGAACAGAAACAATCCAGTTATTAAATGGGCAAAAGGCCTAAACAGATATTTCAGCAAATAAGCACACAAAAAGATGTTCACCTGTACCACAAATGTTTATAGTAGCTGTATTCGTAATAGCTCCCAACTGGAAACAGTTCAGATGTCCTTTAAATGGGTAAAAACAAACTGTTACATCCATACCATGGAGTACTACTCAATAATACGAAGGAACAAAGTACTGATATACGCAACAATTTGGGCAATTCTCCAGAGAATTATGTTGGGTGAAAAAAGCTAATTCCAAAAGGCTACATACTGTTTGGTTTCATTATATAACATACGTGAAATGACAAAATTATAAAAAAGGAGAACAGATTAGTGATTGCTGGAGAACGGGGGGCAGAGGTAGACCATGGGAGGGGAAGTAGGTGTAGCTATAAATGGGCAGCATGAGGGATGCTTGTAGTGATGGAGATTTTCTGTGTCTTGACTGTATCAGTGTCAATATCCTGACATTGATATTGTGATGTTGTACTATAGTTTTGCAAGATGTTACTGTTGGGGGAAAATGAATATAAGTTATATGGGAGGATTTTTGTGCTTTATATTTGATTAACTGCATATGAAATCTATAATTACCTAAAAAATTTTTACTTAAAATTTAAATATATATAAAAGTATAATATATGTATATTTAAATAAGTTGACACATGTATACATCTGCATTTTAAATTCTACCCATAACTACTTCATTTTTAAAAGTCAACCTTTAATCTAGATTTCTCTATGTCAAGAAGTAGTTATTTTTTTAAATTTGAGGTGGATCTCCTTGACTATGGTGGAGATAAGGAAGGCAGGCAGGGCAGAAATAGAATAAATAGAATAAACTACTGTGTCGTAAACTACTGATAGGATATAGGTGACAGATTATTTGGTACCTCTGTAAAGTTCATGTGCCAGTTGGGAGGTAAGTCAGCTATGGAACCTCCTAACCTTGTGTTTTTTACTTTAGGAGTTGCTTTTGAACAGGGTAAAATCCTTCCTACTCCTGAAACAGTTCCTTTTAGACTCACCAGAGATATTGTGGATGGTATGGGCATTACTGGTGTTGAAGGTGTTTTCAGAAGGTAAGCGATAATAAGGTAAGGTAGAGCAGATGATTTTTGGTGTCAAAATTATTTGGATTATTGATTTCTATAGATTATAGAATTCAATATAATAGTGCTTTGCCAGTACTAAGGAAAAGACCTTGGGTAAAAATAGTAATAGTTTCCCCTTCTTTCAGATTCCCTGGGACCTCACCCAATATAACATACATACTGTCTGTCCTTCCCAACCTCCTCCAGAAGCAGCCTGCCTTTAACTTTAATGCCTCTGTGCTAGCTAGCTCGTTCAGCTTACTGCTCAGAACTCCTTTGTGCGCTCATTGTTGGGCATGTAAAATGTCCTAAAGGTGCTTATGATCCACTACCAGTGCCTGGTAAAAGGACTCTGCAGTCCCCTGTAGTTTTCCCAACATCGGGAAAACTATGTACTCAGCTTTTAATGGGGCAGGTTCTATTCAAAGTAAACTAATACTGTAGTAATTAATGATTGAAAGAAATATTTCATAGTATTGTGTTATTTCTTATAAATGCTAAGCTTATATTCACATTTTTTAAAATTAAAGTATCATTGACATACCATGTTATGTTAGTTTTAGGTATACAACATAGGCTTTTGATCTTTATATACCTTACTGTGTGATCTAGTAGCCATAGGTCACCATTCAAAGATTACGATATTATTGACTATGTTCCCTGTGCTGTACATTATATCCCTGTGACTTACTTATGTTATAACCGGAAGCTTGTACCTCTTAATCTCTGTCACCTTTTTCACCCATCTCCCTATTCCTCTCCCTCTGGCAACCATCAATTTGTTCTATGTATCTATGAGTCTGTTTTGTTTTGCTTTGTTCATATTATTTTTTTTTAATTTCGCATGTAAATGAAATTATACGCTATTTGTCTTTTTCTGTATGACTTATTTCACTAGGATAATACCCTGTAGGTCTGTCTAACAGCCTTTGTTGCTGTTTCCTGGGGAGATACATTAAAAAAAAACTATTGCTAAGACTGATGTCAAAGAGTTAAATGCCTTTGTTTTCTTCTAAGAGTTTTATGGTTTTAGGACTTAAATTTAAGTCTTTTAATCCATTTGAGTTTATTTTGGTAAGAATGTTGTCCAATTTTATTTATTTTCACATATATCTGTCCAGCTTCCCCAACACCATTTATTGAAGAGGCTGTCGTTCCCCATTGTATATTCTTGCTTCCTTGTTGTAAAGTGACCATATAAGGGTTTATTTCTGGTTCTGTGTTCTGTTCATTTACAGACATATTTGTATTCATTTCAGAAACATCTACTAAAAGCATACTCTGCCAAATACTGTGCTCTTTGAGATATTAATTTTGGAATTATTAATAAGGACAGTCTCAGCCTACTATACATGAAGATAAATAGATGATAGGTAAATAGAGATATGTTGAAAACGTTAGTGTGTAACAAAATCCCTATTGTGTTTGTAGATGCTGTGAGAAAACCATGGAGGTTATGAGAAACTCTCAGGAAACCCTGTTAACCATTGTAGAGGTAAAGTATATTATAAGGAAATCTTTATTTCTCTATTTTGTTAGAAAGTCACTGATTTGAGGATCAGTGCTTCATTTGGTTAGAATGATGCTAGGCAGCAGGAGGGGAGGTGTTTGCACACATCATTAAACAGTGGTTTTCAAATGCCTCTAGTCCCCTCAATTTTATAATGTTACAGCATAGTAAGTGATCTCTTACACATAAATTAACACTTTTACATCTTAGATATCTTGTATTAATTTGTTTTCAGAATAGATTCCATTGGGGTATTAAGAGAAATCAATAAATTATCTCCTTTTCCCCTGCCCAGGTTCAGAACGATTTAGTCAGACGGATGGAGATCAGAGTCAGCATTGGTAGCGGAGGAACATGGCTGAGGAGCGAGGGCCAGACTGGCCTGCTGCTGGTGCTCCCTCAGTGTCTCTCTGCTGTCTTAACCTTGGGACATCCTACCGAGTCGGGGTTTGGGCCTGTGGAGCATACACACTTCATCAGGCTCACTGCCTCATGTTGAACAGGGCAGAAAGGGAAGCAAGTCGAGCAGATTTCCAGGACTTAAGACCTTAGCTTTACCCAGTGAGAACAGTACCTGAGGCAGCCAGTCACCCCTGCCCCGCCCCCCCCGCTTCCCCGTACAGAGTCTGTGGGTAAGAGATTCCTCCACAGGGAAACAAGGTAGGTTAGAGTGTAGGCATGCCTCCCTTACATTCTTCAGCTTTTGTTCCTCTAACCTGGTGGTGCTGGATCCAGCTGCACGTTATTAACACCTGTACTGCTTTCAGAAATATTGATGCTGACCAAATTCTAACCAAACTTGTAGGAATGGGGCAGGAACATTTGTGTTTTTTTGAAAGCTCTCCTACTGTGCAGCCAGGGAGGAGAATCACTGTCATAATTCACTGGAATTAACCATTAAGCCTGTCATCAACAAGGATGGGCCTATCCCAGGGAGAGTGAAATTAAGACTGTTAGAGTGGTCCCTTGTCACCGTTATAAATCAGATGTCTCTCTATAGTTCTTTAGGCTGCTGATGGCAGACTACAGATTTTTGCTACAAAGGGGGTCTTGAAATGGGTCCCAACAGGATGTTGATAAATTTAAATACAAGGCTATGCTGTCCTAAGTCCGAATGAAAATGCATTCCTTTTTCTTTTTCCCCTTTCAAATTATGTTCATATATGTCATTTATTAGTTTTCCATTGGTTCTGCAGTAAGAACCAAGTTTTTGCCCTTTTGCATTTAAGACAAAGAAATTCAAACTTTTCAAATTAATTTAAGATCCAAAGAAGTTTAACATATTCACCAGTATTTTACTCTGCTCAGTATCACTAAGAAAGATTTTTTTTTTTGCCTGGGTAGATTTGGAGGTTCCTTCAGCAGCTTTATCCTGAGTTAACACTTTCTGGAAGAGCTTGATGAAGTGTGTATGCTCCACAGGCCCAAACCCCGACTCGGTAGGATGTCCCAAGGTTAAGACAGCAGAGAGACACTGAGGGAGCACCAGCAGCAGGCCAGTCTGGCCCTCGCTCCTCAGCCATGTTCCTCCGCTACCAATGCTGACTCTGATCTCCATCCGTCTGACTAAATCGTTCTGAACCTGGGCAGGGGAAAAGGAGATAATTTATTGATTTCTCTTAATACCCCAATGGAATCCATTCCTTTAAGATCTCAAAGGTTTTATTAGTTAAATGCCAAATTGCTCATGAACCTCATTCTTTAAATAGTGGTAGGATATCAAATTAGAGAAGCAACAGTGGCCAGCTCACCTAGAGGTCCTACACCATCATAAGGACTTTAGATTTTACTGAGTGAGATGGAAACTGTGGAGGGTTTTGAGCCTGAGAAATGATTTGCATCTCTACCTACAATAACCGTGTCACTTAAAGCTCACTCTCTAATGCTTTGTGTATTTTACACCTATCAACACAATCTTGCCTCTGTCCAAATTTCCTGAAATCATTTGATGTGGTTGTCCCAGTCTTCAAGAGTAGTTTCCCAGTGGAGCTTACTGTGGACTTTGTGTCTTCAGCTTTAGGAGGGTGCTTCTCAATAGCAGTGTGGACCCCAATCCTGTGGATTGCCATTCCAGGTTCCTCTCTTGTATGCATTACTTTTCCTGTGTTAGGTTTCATCAAGCTGCAGTCACTGTTTCTGATCTAATAGCAATTAAAACATCTCCTCACTTCCTACATCTCTCTTTAAGAGCACTTTGATTTGGGTGCACTTCCCTTTCCCTCTCAGTATATGTAACTTTTCTGGCCTTCAAGATCTCTTTCTTCATAACAGACTATTCTGTCTTCCAAGTTTTATCAGTTCTACTAAGGAAAGCACTTCTTTTAATTCATTGGTTCTTAGCCAAGAGCAGTTTTGTTCCTTAGAGGATAGTTGGCAATGTCTAAAGACATATTTGGTTGTCGTATCTGGGGGATGGAGGGTAAGGGTACTATTCACATTTAGTGGGTTTAGACTAGGGAGGCCACTAAGCATCCTGTGCACAGGATGGCTCCTTCAACAAAGAAGTACCCAGCCCCAAAATGTCAGTAGTGCCAAGATCGAGAAACCTTGCTCTAGCTTAATCAGTTTTTATTCCTTTATTGTTTTCATTCAACCACTTTTGTTCTGATACTAAGACTATATTTTTCAAATTATTCCATTTCTTCCTTGATTCCATAATTTGCAATATGAATCCTATTACAAGCCCTTGGGTTTGAAATAATTTAATTGTGTTGTTTCTCTACTTCAATGCAAGAAGACAATGTAGTCTCTTTATAACTGCGGCCTCCATTCCTTTTCATTAGTTGATTTAATAAATATACCTCCCTTTTGTGGGTGAAACTGGTTTGGATCTCTGAAATCTAAAGCCATGTCAGTGCTCAACTTGAAGTCACATAGGAACAGTGAATTAGGGACAAACCACATATATTCAAAGTCAGTCCCTCCACAGTTTATAATGGCCCTGGAGGACATTCAAAACAGCATAAGCAGATGATGAGATTTTGGTGCTGCTGATCTGGTTCACGTTCTGCAATTAAACATGTAATGCTAAAGGCATTTTATAGTCCCAGCCTGCAGACCTGCTGAGAAACACAGCGAAGGCAGATAAGTGTTCTAACTTTATAATGCTGGAATATCCTGCAGCATCACTCATCCCTGGAATTGAGTCTTCACTTATTCGTAAGACCTGTATGGTAAGCATTTGCTAAGGCCTATTTTAAAAAAAGTTCTGTGCTTATAAATGCCAAAGGCAGTTAGCTGTTTTGAATTGCCAGGGTCAAAAATTCCTTATGACTTCACTTATTAAAATGTAAGACTTAAAGCCACTTACTCTGGCCATGCCAGTTATTTTGGTATTCAAATTCTTCTCCACATATATCTCAAAATGCCAACCACAGCACTTGACCTTGGGTTTTGATGAGCTTCCAATTGATTATAACCGTTTTTTTCTCCATATAAAATTAAAACTAATTGAGAGAAAAAGGAGGAGCCTTAGGAATAGGATACAGATCAGAATGTCAGGTTCGTTACTGATAAAACTGTTGGAGAACATGGCTTGGGAGTGAGTTCCAAGTAGGCTTGCTAGTGCTGTCCAACTCCCATAACCTAACCAGTCCCCTGGTACAGCCCACCTGAGGGAGAACTGGGCCTGCAAAGCAAATACCCTTACCCAGGACTCTACTGGTCAAGAGGAGAGAGAGAAGGAAAGGAAGTGACTAATGCTTATTTCCTTTTAATAGATTAGTTTCACCCAGTCAGGAAACATGAGTAAAGGGTTGTCATCACCCCCAACCATGGAGGAAGGATGAATTCAGAATGGGATCTGAAGCCAGAGCATTGTGCTAGTATAGCTTCCTCCATAAGGAAGCAGGAAGCGTGTGCAATAAGTTTGCTCCTCCCTCTCAGTCAACTACCATGTGACTGGCCTCTGCTGTTTTTATCATTGTGATCTATTGTTTCTAAATACATCATCAAAATACACATTCTTCTTCTAATACATATGTTCTCTCTCTCTAGGTCCTCCTGTATGATCCTCTCTTTGACTGGACCATGAATCCTTTGAAGGCTTTGTATTTACAGCAGAGGCTAGAAGATGAAACTGAGCTCCACTCAACTCCAAATGCAGCTCACCGAGAATGCAAACGAAATCTCAGGTGAGCAGTATTTTAGGAAAGACCTATTCTCCATTGTTCAGATTTTCCTATTCCTAACTCCCTTTAAACTGTTTTACTTCATTAAGACCTTTGTGTTTTTGTCATTAGTGATACTGACCAGAGTTTCAACAAAGTAGCTGAACGTGTCTTGATGAGACTGCAAGAGAAACTGAAAGGAGTGGAGGAGGGAACCGTGCTCAGTGTGGGTGGACAGGTGAATTTGCTCATACAACAAGCCATGGACCCCAAAAATCTCAGCCGACTTTTCCCAGGATGGAAAGCTTGGGTGTGATATTCAGCATACGAATTACCCTTGAATTCAGCCTTTTGAAAATACATTTTGGCCTTCATTTTTAACCCACCTGTGTACTTTGAATAGGTATTAATATTAAGTGAACTACTTACTGTTTTTTTTTTTAAATGTTTAATACTTGCTTCAATAACCAAAAAGTGCTTCGACAGTCTCAAGAAACACCTCTCTTACTTTAGAAATAATTGTCATGCATGCTCTACTTCTAGGCTAAACATTTTTCCTTCTTAAGTACATTCTTGTATCGTTTTCAGTAGTCACACTTTAGCTGAAAATGGAAGCAGCAGGAGCACAGGAACATCACCGGCGGTTTCTCCTTCAGTATGAATTAGAACAAATAAAGATACTGCTAATTTTGAGATGGTTTTTAGTTAAAATTTATTTCCCAGAGATTATTATATATGAATGATAAATTATTTGATATTAATACATAAAAGGAAGAAAAAACTTGAAAATCGTAACCATCTCTATATCATGGTAAAGCTACCTTAAAAATAAGAAGCAATGTTGGAAACAAATTAGTGTTTAAGAAATATGTTTGGATTTTCAGTAGCAGTGTTACTGAATCATACAGTTGTCATGTTATGGAGAACAAATTTCAAAAACACAGAATGACTACTATTTTTAAAAGATATATATTGGTCCTACTCATTCTGTTCTCTGTCTTTTAAGCCCTTCTGTTTTTTCCATTGATCTTTCTGTGATACCTGTCTTCTGGTTCATGAACTCTCTTGTCAGGTATCTTTTTAAACTAATCATTGGGTTTCTTCTTTCAAAAATTGTTTTTTAGTTTCTAGCTACATATCATTCTTCAGATCTGCCTATTGATTCATAGTGTCTAGTTGTTTTTTTTTAACTTTTCAATTTTTTTATGTCACTAGTCACTTTAAACATCCTTATTTTATAGTTTCTCTAATAGCTCTATTAAATCAATTTCCTGTTGTTTGTATCTGTTGATTCTTATATTTGGTAGACTGCTTATTTACGTATTTTGTAATTTTGAAAGATGAGCTTATTTTCAGCAGGGCTTTCTCTGTGGGAATCTTACGTGACCCGGGTTAATAATAATTCCTTCCAGATAAGTTTTGTGTCTCCTTATGTCATATTCCCACTGACAAAGGACCACTGTTAATTTCTTGGCTGTGGGGTTTCTAGACCCCAAGAGTAGTATAAATTACCGAGAGAAGACTCCTAGGCCAAGACAGACACTTTTCCTCATCATCTCCCTGTGCTGGTTTTATTGACTCCACTCTCTCTGAGAGTGCCAGCGTCTGTGTGTTGTACCTTCATGATGGGCATAAGGGGAGGTGGATTTAATTCCTACCCACTGCCTTCTGCAAGTCCAACGTTTTATCAGTCCCTTTATAGATGTTAAAACTGAAACCCATAGGTTAATGAGATTGGCAAATTATGCTAGGAGAGCTAGAATGTCAGCTCACACATTTAGCTTTCTGGTTTTCAGTTCCCTTCATTTTTGTTCTTTTAGTTCCCTAAAGATTTCCTCTTATTTTCTTGTAAGTTCTGCTAGGCATTTGAAAGAACGTCTCTTGTATTTTATCCAGCATTTCTGTTTTATTGAAGAGGAAAGATTTAGATATCAAGTTTGATATGTAGCTAGATATGGAACACCTTTCTGTCCCGATACTGTCAGCATGTAAACAAGTAAAACTACTGACTTGTATATTGGTGAATATAATTCCTCCTTTATTCTTAGGAAAATGTTCATCTCAGTTGCAGAGATGAAGAAATGGGTAATTGAATTTTCCTCTTATTTGTACCTTAGGTAACCAGTTTATGTAAACAGGTATTTCTTACAATGGGTTAGCATTTCTGTCTATGGCCAGTGGCAAGCACTCACTCATATCTGACCTCCCCATCTTCCCCTCCTTCCAAAAACAATCTCCAGAACTTTGTGGACTATAAATTTCTTAGTTTGGTTTTTGGAGAACTATTCTTAAATTTATTTCTCATTTCAAGTTACAGTCTTATCTTGGTGTCTCTTTTGCTTATAAGCTGCCTGAATGAATATTTAATGTATATTGGCAGTTTTATTACTATAGTGAATCAAGGGAATGTAATAAACTTGGAATGTCTTTATTCAAGAAAGCTATGAAATCTTCATGGATGAATAAAAAATGATTATTAGATGAGAATATAGGTAAATGAATTTGTAACTAATTCTTGCTGGTTGATGTATCCAAAGAACTGAATAACATCATGAGTCCACTCTTCAATCTTTAATGGTGTGCCATAAGGCTCCTGTCCTATTCAAATATTCTTATTAACAGCTTTGAAAAGTTTACCAAATTTGAAATAACAAACCTAGGAGGAATAGCTGATTCACAGGTAACAGAATTGGGATTCTAAAAGATTTTGACAAGCCAGAACACTGGAAATGATAAGATTGAAATTTACTGGGAACAAATAAGTAATGGTTAGATTTCTAAAATATTAATCATATATGTTATATGCTGAGTACCTAACATACATTATATGTAGCATTTCTTGCAAGATTAGTCATGTTTTCCCAGTTTATACCTGGAGAAAGTGAAGTTTGGAGAAATAAGGTAACTTCTCCAAGGTCAGAATATAATAAATCAAATGTACAAGTTTAGGGACATCTAACTTAAAAAGCTTCCAGGTGAAAAGAATCTAGGCATCATCAATCAGTTGCTCACAAGGTCAGTGGAAACCAAGTGAGAAGCTACTAGAAAAGCTAATAAATTACATTTTGAACACGTGTCCAGATTAAGGGAGATAATAGCCCTCCCGCCATTCTCTGTGCTAGTCATAACACCTCAAAGAATCTTCCTAATTAGGTATATAAATTCATAGTCATTATAGTATATGTACTTAGAAATGCTAAAAATTTATATATAGTCTAAAGCAAATAAAAGCAAAAAGGAAAAACTTTGGACTTCTTAATGATAAATTTCATATAGATTTATTTTAGTACTTTTGAATGTATTTCTGTACTACATGGTTACCAGATTCCTGTTGTACTGTTACCTATTTTGAATAAATAATTCTAAAAGAAAATATATGCTAAGACTCGTTCATCTTATTCAAATATTTGAATGTTCCGTATGCCAGACGTGGTGCTGGATCCTAGGGAAACAACGGTGAGCAAGGCGGGCATAGTCAACATTTCGGGACAGAAGAGCAACTTATAATGCAGTGTGAACTGGGAAGGCTGTTACACAGAACCAACCTGATATGCTGTGTCTGTCTAAATAGTCTGGTAGTTTTCCTTGATTACATCATGACAAAAAGGCAAATGAATGTTCTTTGGGCCTAGAGAGTGATCTAGTTGACATTTCTAAAGTTTAAAAGATATATACTGGAATTTGACAGATATAAAGACCTTGATATCCTAAATGTGAAGATTGTGTACCACATTTTTTTTTTTTTAATTCAGGCCTCTTCAGAGTTTCAGGCTTTTTGTCTAGTTTAAGAATTTTGTATAATAACAGTACAAAGTTTTCACAAAGATTAGATTCAGAATTTAGTATGGTGGAAATCTTATATAATGAAAATTATTTCCTAAAAATTCACTTTGCCCATAAAGCATAGCATGCATAATTTTTAATGTACAGTTATAAGTACAAAAGTTACTTTCTACACTAATGTAGTGTATGATTCTAAAGAAGTGGTTCCCAATGAGAGCTGATTTTGCTTCCCCACTCTCCACCTCCACAGAGGACATTAGCAATATCTGAAAACACTTTTTGTCATTGACATGGTGAGAACTTGAAATAGTGACATGTAGTGTTGGAGGTTAAGGTCGGTATTTCTAGACCAGGACAAACGTAAGAGAGGTATAATCATAAGTTTGCTTGTAGCTCTTGTCATCCTATAAGTTTGTGTTCACAGCTGGTCTAATGTGTGAATCACTATTTTTTTAATTGTGAAATACACAATATAAAGTTTATCTTCTTAACTATTTCTGAGTATACAGTTCAGTAGTGTTAAGTTGATTCATATTGTTGTGCAACCAATCTCCAACACTCTTTGCTTTGCAAACCTAGACTTTTATACCCATTCCACAACTTCCCATACTCCCTTCCACCCAGCCTTTAGCAACATCATTCTATTTTCTGCCTATGAATATGACTACTCTAGCTACTTTCTATAAGTGGTATCATATATATTTTTCTTTTTATGAGTAGTTTATTTCACTAGCATAAGGTTCATCTATGTTGTATGTCAGAGTTTCCTTCCTTTATAAGACTGAAAATATTCCATTGTATGTATATACCACATTTTGTTTATCCATTCATCTATTGATGGACACTTGGGTTGCTTCTCCCTTTTGGCTCTTAAGAATAATGCTGCAACGAACATGGATGTACAAATATCTCTTCAGGACCCTGCTTTTGATTCTTTTGGGAATATACCCAGAAGTGGAATTGCTGGATCATATGGTAGTTCTATTTTTAATTGTTTGAGGAACCACCACACTGTTTTCCATAGCAGCTACACCATTTTACTTTCCCACCAACAGTACACAAGGGTTTCAGTTTCTCCACATCTTCGCCAACACCTGTTTCTGTTGCTTTGCCTTTAATAGTAGCCCTCCTAATGGGTGTGGTGAGTCATTCATGTAAGTAAAAGCATTGTATATTTTATACAAATCTTATGAGTGGTATTGCAAGAAATGAGTTTTAGAAGAAAACTATGTCCTTCCATTGACACTTTTGAAACCTGATACTTGTTAGTAGATCTTAGGTTGAAAACTACCCCCAAAATGTTCCCTAGTGTTTCCTGGTGTTTGAATATTCACTATAGACTTAGAATTCTTTGTTGATACTACTAAACTTAATGTTTCTTATTTTTAAAACAATTCTTTAGATATCTATGATTATAAGAGTTGGAAGTATTTTAAGAGAGGAAAGGATAATCAGCTGTTTGCAGATTTCTTTTAAATCACAGCAATATATAGCAACATGGACAAGTAGGTTTCATAGGCATCTCAAACATATTCAAGGCGTGAAAAAGACAAAAAGCACTGAAAATAATCCTGAGTCAATGCCTTCTATTTCTAAGGAAGAAATAATACCAATGCTACACAAATGCCAATATTAGGCCTATTTTATGAGGCCAGGATTATCCTTATATCAAAAATTATGAGAATTAAAACTGAGGACCAATTTCTTTCTTGAACATAGTTGCAAAAATTCTTACAAGTATTAATAAATGAATTCCATCAATAGGAAAAAGATGATACATTGTGATCAAGTAGCATTGTTCCAGAGATATCAGGTTGTCTTCGTATTTGAAAATCAATGTGAATAACAAAAACCCTATGTCAATAGATGAAGGAAAAGCACTCATAAAAACTCACTAAACTAGGACTAAAGGGGACATCTTCAACTTGATGAAGGACATCTGTGAAAAAACAGCTCACATTAAACAATGGTGAAAGACAAGTGTTTTCCCCTTAACATCAGGAACAAGGCAAGGGTGCTACGCTTTTCAGCTCTGTTCAACATTGTACTGGAGTTTATAGCCATGCAACAACGCAAAGAGAAAGATGTAAGACATAGAGTTTGTAACAGAAGAAGTACAGTTATTCATTTACAGATGACATTGTCATATATGTAGAAAATTCTAAAGATTCTATATGGCTTTTTTAAAAGTCTAGAACCAAAAAAATGTCTAGAACCAGTAAGTGAATTTAACAAGGTTATATGATCCAGGTCAGTATACAAAAACCAATATTTCTATGTTCTTTTCAAGTGTCCAGACTAGGTCCAAGATGTAGTTGTTTATGCTAAGCCCCATGCTTACCATATGCTAAGATTCAGCAAACCAAAACTTAACTTTCCATGCTCAGCTATACCAGAAAACGTAGGCCTAAGGCAACCAATCAGCACTTGCCCACTTAGCATAAATTAACCTAACCCAGCCCCAACACTTCCCTTTGCTCCATATAAAGAAAGTAAACCTGTTTTAACAAATTAACAAATAACTAGTATAACTTCCTTGTTCCTCACTTTTGTCTATGAAACCCTACCACTTTATACAACTCTTGGAGCTCCTTTCTGTTTTCTAGACTGGATGCTTTCCAATTCATGAAGTGCTAAAGAAAAAAAAAACAGCCAACTAGATCAGGAAATTAAATGTCTTTGTCACCAGCAATGAACAGTTTGAAATTGCAAGTTAAAAATAATAGCATCAATAAACAAACATGCATAATTTCAATAAAATATGTGGGATACCTGTACACTGAAATATACAAAACATTACTGAGAAAACTAAGGCCTAAATACAAAGATGTACCCTGAAACCCAGATGTTCATGGGTTTGGATACCCTATTTGGATAACACTTCTTCCCCAAATTGGTAATATAGAATCAATGAAATCCAATCAAATCCCAGCCAGCTTCTGTCTTGTTTTTTCTTTTAGACCTTGACAATCCGATTGTAAAATTTGTAAGGATATGCAAAGGAACTAAAATAAGCCAAAACAATTTTGTAAAGAAAAAATAAGATTGGAAGACATACTTAAGCCACAGTAACAAATAGAAGATGGTATCAGCAAAGGTTCCAAGAAAGTTTAATAGGGAAAGGATAGTCTTTCCAAAAAATGGTGCATATCTAAATGCGAGAAAATGAATTGCAAACCTTCCGTCTCGATGATGAACCCTTCAATAATTTTATACTTAAAATTATAAAATCTATATAACAACTCTTGTGACCTTGGTTTAAGCAAAGATTTTCTAGATAAGACACTAAAAGCATGAACCATAAAAGAAAAAGTGGTAACTTGGACTTTATTAAAAATAAAAACCTTTTCTCCTGAAAAAAACATTAAAATGAAAACACCAGCCACAGACTGGCAAAACAGTATTGGTAAAGGATTTGTTTTTAGAATTTATTTTTTACATCTTTTAACAAAATAAGAAATTAAACAAATTAGAACTGGGCAAAAGATTTGAACAGGCACTCTGCCAAAGAAGATATCCAAAGGCAAATAAGCACATTAAAGTTCGTTGACACCATAAATCATTATGATTATGCAAACTAAAGTCACAGTGAGACACTATTCACTCTTCTAGTGGATGTGTATCCACTAGAACAGCTAAAATTAAAACATCTGACAACACGAAGTGACAAAAACCAAGTGAAGCATCTGAAACTGATTCATTGCTGGCAGAAATGCAAAATGGTACAGCCACTTTAGACAAACAGATGAAGCAAATGTATAGCTATTGTTTGCCCCAGTAATTCTACTCCTAGGTATTTCTCAGGAGAAATGAAAGCATATGTCCCCATAATGACTTGTACGTGAATATTCATAGCAACTTTAATTATAATGATCTCAAACTGGAAACCACCAAATGTCCATCACCTGCTGAATTGATATACAAATTGTGGCTTAGTCATACAATGAATCACTGGTAATTAAAAAGGGAATGAACTACTGATATAAGCAGCAAGGATGACTCTCAAAAGCATTATGCTAAGTGGAAGAAGCTAGACCAAAAGAGACTACATGTAATATCATTCTATTTGTATGGCCTTCTAAAAAAGGCAGAACTGTAGTGATTGAAAGGAGATCAGTAGTTTCCAGGGGCTTAAGGTGGGGTGAGTGGATTGGCTGACTGCAAAGATGCGCAATTCGAGGGTGATAGAAATGCTTTATATCTTAATTGTGAAAATTACATTTGTCAGACCTGAAACAACACGCAAAATGGGTAAACTGGTATATAAATTACATCTCAGTAAATCTAATTTTTTTCTTAAATATACATTAAGTTTTCTGATTGCTGACTTTTTTTTTATAGTTGGGGGTATAAGCCTTTGGTCTATAATTATTATAGAAAAAGAGCTCTGCTTGACACAAATGTACAAATGAATGCTTCAAATACAGAAAGCAATCTGAAGATTGTTTTGCACCTAAGTATATCTTTATTTAATTGTGATTGTAAGAATACTACAGTTTCTCAGAATACCAGGAATAATTTCTGCATTTTCTATGAGCACTGTATTCGGTTCAATGTTATATTTCTGTTTAATCTTCCTTATTTAATTGGGTAG